CCGCAACGGCGAAGATGAGAGCCAATGCGGTAAGCTAATTTGTCTTGCCCCCTCCCCACCCCTCTCCCTCTTTGAAACGTGTACCTTGCTCGATCGATTCTTACGTGTTGAGGGCGCGAACGGGACATGCGATTTTTTTTTTTTAACGACGCAGATTTCGACGGGGCCCGACTTGTACACGTCTCTCCGTCGTCTCTAATTGTGTCGTCTTCGCCCGACGGCAACGTGACAGTCCCACGTTGTCGCGTAACTCACGGGCGATCGCGAGGTCAGTAGTCAGTTTTGCGCGCGCAACGATAATTCCGCCCGCAACGGTTCCAGCAATAAGCCGCGATAAGCCTGCACCAATGCTCTTTGCCAAGTGTCGGTTACCCGACGCGATTATTCACGAGCGATCGAGAGGGGCGGCTGAGCTTAAACGAGCCTCAAACGCGCCTGCGAAGTTTAACAACAAGATTGCAGGCACTTTGATAAGTCTCGCGAGTAAACCTTAGCAGTGATCTCACTCGAGCACATGCCTAACGTCGTAGAAATAACATTCGCCAATATTGCGATTGCGCATGTATTATCGCCCTTTCCAAATTTCAGGTGTTCGCTACTTTTCTCCACCCTCCTCCTCCTCTCCCACCCCCCGAACTCGTTTCATCGCGAATGAAAACACTTCCCCCCCCCCCCCTGTGATGGTAAACAGAAATGTGTCTACGCCCGCATATAATTAGACGCTGACGAGCGGCTCGAAGGCCCGGCACGGCGTCGGACGCACACCGTTGCGCGCCGTAACGTGAATAACGTAAACTTAATTTTCCCCCCCCCCGGCACGCTCCGCGTGACTTTCGATTTACGATTTTCCACGCTGACCGAGCTTTACGCTCGGCGCGCAGCGCCGAAAATAACGCCACTTTTCCCGAAATAGTTTGGCCAATGCCGTTGGCACCGCCGCCACAACCCTTAATCCCGGTTCCGTTGCGATCTAAACCGGGGGGGCCGCGCGCACGTATACGACCGTGTGCGAAGAAAGCGGCGAGCTTTCGGGAATCCCCCCCCCCCTCGTTCCCTCCTCCCGTACACTCGCGGGTCGTTGCGTTACGAGACGTTCCTATTATTCCACACGTGCCCCCAACCCCCCCGCTTTAATTAATCGATTTTTAAGCGAACCGCATCCGACATACCTGCAGCCAACACGCGCGGAGCGAAGACATCAATCCTCGCTGCCCGATCGAAGATAAATCGATCGCGCAACATAGTCCAATAGTCCATGTCATCCCGCTGCGATCGACTTATCTCCCGATTGGGGAATGCAGATTGCTGGCCCTTCGCCCCCCCCCGTAAACCCCCTATATATAATACTTCCTTTCGACGGTGTACTAACTTCAGCAAAAGCAGCAAACAGCTCGAAGCGTCTCACACCAGGTAAAGGTGCGCACCGTCCGTTTCTACCGTCCAGATGGTGCGTAACGCTATGCAAACGATATCCCGACCCCCCGCCATGGTGTCGCACCCTGCACCGCGTGATCATAAATATATGCCGCCGGCCGGCGAAATTATTTGGCGTCACGCCCGCGGCTTGTTCTCATCTCGGACGGGAGATTCGGAGGGTGTCGAAGGGCTTGCTTGAGCCGCGATCGCGCGGCTCGCCGGAGGGCCGAGGGAAACGTCCCGAGGACGGGGGGGCTGACGCGCGTCAGCGGGCGATGCAATCCTTAAATGCGCATGAGTGTTATGGTGTATGGAGCAGGTTGCGGAGAAGCCGAGTTTCGCTGCACGGACGGCCGCTGCATCAGCTACGTGTTGCAGTGCAACGGGGTGAACGAGTGCTCTGACGGCTCTGATGAGAGGGACTGCGGTAATTATGCCACACTACACTCTTACCCACGCTCCCTTTCCCCGACACAATACAGATACACCCGCACGCGTACCTCTTGCATCACGCTCGCGCGCGCCAGACAAGTCACTCGATAAATACTCGATTCGTAAAGTCGCGAGCTGCGTTCGGACGTTACACGGCAGTGCTTGTCGCGAGGGGGCAACCGCTGGCTAAAATGTTATCCCACCGTTTACACGATTTCATCTGATTACAAAGAATCTCATCCAATTGCAAATCATTTTCTTACGTGCCCATTTGAAAATATGTAACGTTGTTAAACCACAAAGAGCTGTTGGACTTCCTCAAAACATATTTTTCTTAATTTACTAAAGAAGTATTTTGCTTGTAGAGGTAATTTCGGTTAAGATTGTAGTATTCTGTCACGTGTTTCCTCGCTTCTCACTTTTCCCACCTAGTCTAACCGTGGTCTTAACGAAAAGTAACTTTGCATTTGTATTTACCGTTTGCCGTTCCACATTTGCGCGCAAAGGCGCATCGACGTTTCAACTCGCTGTTGTTCTAACAGCAACTACTTCAGTCTTATATCGTGAAAGGAATACGCGCTTATAGGTGTGATATATATTTGGATATTCACTAAAAGAAGCACATTTTTGGGGGAAAATGGAAACGAGCTGAGAAAATGTTCAAATTGAATGTTTATTGTCTAGCGAAGAAACGTTGAAAACGAAGACGAAACGATTACACGTGGATTTCGTAAGGATTTCATAATCACTTCGGAGACACTGTCCCACGGTTACATCAAGTGGTTACCCCCTTGGCTTGTCGGGTAACGCGGGGTTTTCGGCCGTTAGAATTTAGAATCGGTTGAGATCGGGGTATCTCGAGGGAAGAAAGAACGCGGTTCGTTGGCCTTTCAAAGATAATCGAACTTTTTGATTTCTGTAAAAACACAGCGTGCAATTTTGCTAATACTTTTGTATCATTGTAGTTGTAACACGTAGTAAGTAGTAGGAAGTCTAACACTAGAACCGACAGAATTCAACCAACTCGTCCTCCATCGATCGTGCTGACTTTCAAATACAACTTCCGAGCATTCCGCGCGATATTTTCGCCATTACGTTCGCCTTTCTCTGCCACACAATCCCTTTTTAATCGTACTTATCGCGAAATCATGCGCCACCCGTAGAGAAGTATCCGCGGCGAAATTCCTATAACGCCGGAAAGTTCGCGGTCGCACGGAAGTCGTCGGCCGCGTTTTCCTACGGAGGGAAACTCGCGGGACGCCGAAGGAATATGAATATGCAACCCGTGGCGACGGAAAGCACCTATCGACTCACCATCAAACCAGCCGTGACGATCGGTAATCCGATCCTGGAAGCGTTTCCGGAAGAAGCTCAACGACGAAGATTCCCAAACTCCATGCCGCCGAGTCTCCTGGTATACTTGATAAGAATTGCGCCCAAATCGAAAGATAATAACTCGCCCTCGCAATTGCAGCACGTGGAATTCGGCCTATCTAAATCCGATGCGAATTGCAGTAACGATGCCAAAATTTATCAAGTCACGTCGTCTCAAATCCCAAAACCTCTCCGGCTGTCGGATAATCTCGTGAGATCGTTGCAAATGTTGAAGCGCAACAATATTTCGCTGATAAGTGTTCGCTCGCAGTCTGTTAATAAGCGCGACAGAACACGAAAACTAGCGAATGGAAACGATTCTGATCGTGCACCAGTAAAGCCCGATGCTTCCAATTCAAACGCAAACATTATAAATCATTTGCTCAATACTTCTAGAAAGGACAGATACGGTACGGAGGAGAAAATTTTCAAATCGGAAAATTCAAACGTCGGACACACTGCATCCAAAAAAGAAGCAAAATATCAAAGTGGCGAGAAAATTAAAGAGACAGAAACGAAATTGGAAAGAAATTTATTTAACAGAGATGATATTGATATCAATTACTCGACCACGTATTATTCTAACAGCAGACACGCTACGGAGGAGAAAATTTCCAAATTGAAAAATTCAAATATC